AGTATTGACTCCTGCAGAAAAAAAGCTCAGCAGGGTTTGAGGCTCAATATCTACAAAGAGGTTTATGGAAGGAAGTTTTAATCAAAATCTCCTTCAGCGGAATGTCTATAATCCACTAGAAATTACATAACGCGCAGAAGACCAAATTAAGGACAAAACGCAGTGTATTCTGTCTGAACAGCCCGTATTTCTCAAATGTGTGTGAGGTTGCGTCCTCACATAATGAAAGCTTCTTCGAGGCAGAGGAGTCACTGTGAAGTCCCCTCACGCCTGTCAGCTCCCAGAAACGAATCTGAAAAGCAAAGCAGACGAACCGACACGCAGAACCGAGCTGAACTCAGCAATTTTGTCAGGAAAAAAGCGTCAAGTAGCCGACGCTCCTCTCTCCTCTTGTCAAATCCTTAAACGTGAACTCGGGCAAGCAGGAGCACGTGGAAGTGTCGCCGCGATGGCGAGAGAGCAGAGGAGCTGCTGCACAGCTGGCTGCAGTGGCCCACTTCCTCCTTGATTACACATTAATCTCATCCAAAAAACTAGGAGCGCTGGCACTTCACATGTTCCTCCAAAGAGTCATTCATTTTTCAGCGCTCGCGAGTAACTCACGCCGTGTGGCCCGAATTTGAATTCTTAATACGGCGGTGTAACGCTACTCCAGCGTGTAATTGGGAATCCACTCAGTGAGCCAGAATGATTGTGGCACAGATGTCTGCAGCACGGACTCCGAAATGTCTTCGCAGTGTGTGTCTGTGTGTGGAAAGCGCTAGTGTGTGTGTGTGTGTGTGAGTAAGTGTGTGTGAGTGAGTGTGTGCTGCATGTTTGTGCACATGTGAAACTGAAATAGACAGAAAGTACACGGGAGCTGGGAGGAGGAGGAGGATCTGAACGAGAAACATGCTGCATGTGAGGGAACATCGCTGCTTATCAGGGTGGAGAATAACCAGAGCGTGATGCATTAAGGTGCACGCTGTGCTATATGTGTAATTAGCTTGTGTAAAACAGTAACACTGTCACCGCTCTGCGCTCTTCACATAATTGCAAATTTTATATCTCTGTCATGTTAAAGATCGGACGCAGCCTGTGTGGGAAGATCTTCTGTTATGACCGCACAACAGGCCACACTTTAGCAGCTGATAAATGGTTGTTTTTGGCCTTTATTGGATAGTGCAGAGAGAGAGAGAGAGAGAGAGAGGAAAGTGGGGGGAGGACACGTGGGAAAGGGTCATGAGCAGGATTCGAACTCATGACCTCCACATTGGGACTGTAGCCCTGCACATGGGACGTCAGCTCAACCAGGTGAGCTACAGCGGCGCCCCTGTAACTGATAAATGTGAAGCTTCGGAGTCAAACGCTGCTCAGGGCTTTGGGTGTTTGGCATCTGAGAATGCTAAACTGTAACGTCTCAGTTTGCTGTTTGCATCTTCAGAGGGTTTTCGCTGACAGTTCTCGTTATAGCTCAGTGATAACACCAAGCGGCTGGTGCAGACGAGGTTAATGAGACAGACGACAGGAGATCCAGAGATGCAGCAGTTTAAGATGCTACTTGCACAATGTCCATTCTCCAGTCCTTCTCTTCATTATGGCACAGCTGGATTCACTCAAACAGAAAGACAGCTGTGATGAAGTGGATCTCATTAGCGATCCTTCTGTTCGGGACGCAGCCTCGATCTGATGCTGCTCATCTAAAAGCATCATCAGGAGCCGCACGGGCTGCTGGGTAGCGACTACCTGTAGCCTCCTGAGAAGTTTGCAGAAAGCAGCCACATTTTCCGCTGTTGATGTTTACATTTTTTTTTTCCCCACATTGCAACATCATGTGAATGCATAAGGGATTTCCATATAAATGGCTTTCTTCTCAGCCCAGATCTCTATCTCTTTATTCCGCAGCCAAGAGACGAATCCCTCCTTCATTTATCTTTAATTGGATTTCCAATATAAACTTGTTATCCTTCAGAGGACCCTTTATGTTTCCCCTCCTCGCGTTCAACTTTTTCTTCCGCGAGTGGCATTAGAAGCTCCGCTCGGCTGCTACATAATTCATCGAGCCGACCCACACATCCAATAAAACGTAACAAAACCAGAATGAATGTCCTCTGAAAGATTTATTCTGCCTTTTTTTTCTCGATTCATTCCCCCCCCCCGTTCGGCTGGATGCATTTTAATGCCCTCCCACAATAACTTTAAAGGAGGGTTTTAAAGAGGAGAAGCGTGACAGCGGTGGGTGGAATCAAAGTGACGCTCTCCATCACAATATCATGATCAGCCAACACCAACCTGCTGCACCCTGACGGAGCGTTTACACCAAAGTCACTCCTCAGACCTCTCGTAAATAATGCAGCGTCGGCGGTTCATTATTTCAAGAGAATAATGAACGTGCTTCATCATTAGCCAGACTTCTTCATAATTTTTATTTAGTGAAATAATTTCTGTTTTCTGCAAACTTGTGAGATGTCATCAGTAGCATTTAATCCAACTTTTAGCCAAACGCAGTCCAAAAGTCATTCATAAGCTTCAAACAATCAAACTTTAATGAACGGAGGCAGACAGCCAAAAAAAAAAAACTTTTGGAAACTTGCCCTCAAATCTCTAGCCGCAACATTAAATATTAACGGATCGTGTCGTTATATATTATTAATTAAGAGGTTAACCTTTCTCAGCATGTTTGAGCAGATCCGTTTTATTTGACGTTGACTAAATAAACCACCAGCTGTCATCATCACATTCTGATTTAACGGTTATGGTTAAGCTCCACCAACTTTAAACCAACAGGAAAAGCACAGACGAATTAGAATTATGCCTCCAGAATCCAAGGCTGTCGCTATGTTCAGGCTGTTTCTATGGGTTCTGTTTGTTTTTCCTAAAAACCTGTCGAATTGCAAGGTTTAGGATTGTTAAGGGTCAGATTATCGAGTCATGACTGTATTTAGTCAAGAGTTCAGTAAAAGGTATTGTAAGCGTTTTTTATGGTGGAATGGTAGTTATCAGAACGCTAGAATCCTTTTTATTGTCATTATGCAAACACTTGCAGACGCACGACGAAATTACCGTCGCAAGTCTCGACTTTCAGCAAAAAGAAAAATGCCACAAAGAATTCAAGAAGTGAATGTTTGCACCAAGTACCTCAAGATGTTACTGCGATATCGTGTTCACAAGAAACGGATGTTCAAACAGACATACAGAGGGACAAAACATAAAACCTCTGGCCTCAGTTACCACCAGCATGTCGGCATAAAAACAGAAAGTTCTCATGTGAACTTGTTCTAAAACACCTTCTCCAACAGTAAGAAGCTGATTGATGTGTTTTAGAGCCTTTAAAAAATGTCATTTATTCACGGTTCACCAATGTCACTTTATTCTAGTTCAGTGTTTTTATGATAAATTAACTTTTAAGACTTTTAAAATGTAAAATTCCAAAATCATGCAAAAACCTCTGTGACACTCGGCTGAAGGTAAAATCGCTCTTTTGTTTTTTTTTTTCTTCAGCTAAAGATGTGACATTGAACCGCCCAGCTGTCTCTGTGTGCTTTTGGCTGCCACACTTAAAGCCTTAAAAACAGAGTTTGTGTGCTTCACGGTATCCGTTACTGTGGAACACTGAGCTACATGGAAACTCTCCGCTTTTCCTTAAGACGTCGTTATTTACCAGAGCGGCGCTTTGAGCCCCGTCTGATACGAGTAACCCCGAGAGAGACTGAAGCAGCCTGGGGAGTTAGAGAGAATTAGCATTAAAACAAAAAAAAAAAGAAAAAAAGAAAACAATTAATAACTGGTTCAAGCCTCCCACACTCCAGGCCCCGCTTGGTTCTGCAGTCGACTCACCTCGCCCCCCATCGGGGCCCGAGTGTGGGCGGGTTGAGACTGGCACCGGCTAAAAGTGAGCCAGCCAGCGATACTCGTCTCCAGCAGCTTGGCAGAGAGATAATCGAGGCCCTTTCTTGCTCTTGCCATCAGACAGCATTGAGCATTGAAGTGCGTGGGCAAGTGGAGGCAAGCGAGACGGCTGAACTGCCACAAGAGCCGAGATAACAAGGGGAATTAGCAACCTGAACGCAGGTTCTGGGAGAGGCCAATTAAATCTTTAACCACCGAGATGAGGGTGTGGCAGTGTGTCCAACTCAAAAATCGCTAATTACCCAGCCTTATTGTTGTCTTCTGTCAGTAGAGGCAGCTCAGATGTTCCAGAAAAAAAGAAAAAGTACATATTTCAGGAAAAAGAGAACTAGCAGTTTCACACGACCTGGTTTGTGTAGTTGTGTCTGATTTCTGCAGCTGACTGAAGAGGCACAAGCAGTCAGTCACACAGGTTCAAGCTAAAGCTACTTGGAAGATGAGTTAACACGTTATTTTTGTTGTTTGTCCCACCCCTAGTAAACACGTGTCCACTTTCAAAGAGCTACATAAGGAGGACCGAGAGGTGGACTTTAGAGGAATCTCTCTGTGTGGAATCATTATTTTAAATTTTGTTTTGATTCCCAGTTTTGCTTCGTTTTTTTTGGTTTTGGCACCAAAATTGTTAGATTTAAGAGAAAAAAACATCAAGGTTTGGGTTAAAATATGACCTTGTCTCAATATACTTAAAGCTTCTCCTCCATCTTTTGGGTTACCAGGGTGACAAGTCCCGCCTCACCTCTTCTGTGATTGCTTGGCTGTGGAGGAGCGACAGTAATCTAAGAGAAGATATAATTCCCTCAAAACATGACTCTGAATTCTGCGTAGTTGAGCAGGAATGTGGTTTTTAGGAGACAGGGCTGACTTTGATCCCTTGTCGTGATGTGTATCAGTCAGATATGAGGTGAATACAAGACATTAGACTTTCCTTTGCAAACTGAAAACTGCAACTTCTAAAAAATGTTGCACCAAGATGATCGTCTCATGGCTCCTTACTGGAGGTTAAACTCACAACCAGGTTGGCAACCATGTTGTCTGACCTCTCCTGCCCAGGACATCGCTTCAGGGAGTTTATCAGCTATAAAAACAAAAACTTAAGCTGTAGTTCCACTTACTGCACGTCTCCTCCGCCTCGTCAGAGCCGTCCGGACACTCCGGCTCTCCGTCGCAGCGCCAGCGTCCCGGGACACACTGTCCGTTCAAACAGGCAAACTCTGCCGGAGCGCACGTCTTCCTGGCTGCTCGGACACAGAAGCGACAGACAGAGAAGGACAGAGTGAAGACAGGAAGTTAGAAAACTGGTCATCCTGCAGCAGCGGCGCTTCATCTCCGTCCTGAGCGGCTCACATTATCTGAATCCCTGCAATCATCAGAGATCAGGCTCATCGTTTCTCAGTTTAGTGCTCGCTCTCTTTCATACGCTAATTATCTCCATTTTGCCGATTTTCTTTGACTCTAACTCATTGTGCTGTCCTCCCCCTTCCTCCCCCAAATCCTTACATCTGCTGGTCTCCCAGAAAAAAAAAAAAAAAGAAAACAGTCTAATCTCTGCTTGAGGTTTTCCATCACAGAGCAGTGAAATGGATGCTGATTGCTGAACACACGCCAGCTCAGGGAGGTTAAACCTTTTACCTCCCAAACGTGTTTACTGCAGAAGGTTACAAGCCTGCGAGGCCACGGGCTGATAAACATGTCAAGTGTGCTGAGAGTTGGAAAATCAAAAACATGTCAAGAAAAAAAAAAAAAAAACGCCGGTTCAGGCAATTAGAAGAAAACTTTCACCAACAGCCCAGAGCTCATCGCGGCTCCCAAAAATCTCAACAACCTTTAAACTCACACACATAAAATAAAAAATCCACCTTGCACCTGCAGCAGCCGGGCAGCTCACAGAACCAGACGCGAGCAGAACTCATTTCCTCAGCCTGTTACTCCAGCAGGACCTGCTGTACAGTCGAATAAATCACCGGCTTAAAGCCCTCAGCCGAGCTCTGTGGTGTTGTTACACAGCCGCAACTGCTCCTAAGCCGGCCCCCATCTTGGCTCTGATGCTTCAAATTAGATATAGCGTTTAGAGATGTGCGGGGAGCTTAAGCTTAGCTGTGGGGCTGCGAGAAAAAGGCGGTGATTTTTCAAGAGTTTTTTTTCCTTTGCTGAGCTCAACCTCTTTCTCTGCAGACGTTTAAGATCTCTGGGATGTCTTGGTCTGGCTGAAAGAGTTTACTCCTGACGTCTGAATTTGAACACAGGTGATCTCAGAAGGAAATTAAATCAAGAGCCTGTTTGAGATTCAGTAAAAACTCAGAATTAGCTGATTGGAACCTGCTTTCAGGGTTTCTCCTCCTGACATCTTTTTCTTGAAGAGCCTCTGAAGCCAGAACTCTCCATCAGACACAACTTGGATGTTACGTAACTCTCTGGTGATCATCTGTTTGAGCTTCACTGTTCCTCTGCACAGCCGATAATCTATCAGAACAATATCCTCGGCCTCCATATGGCGGACGTGCTCGCATGACATCGGAGACACGATTTCATCCGTCGTGACGTCAGAAATGGTAATGCTCGGTCCTCCCAAGTCTCATCAGGGCAGCACTTAATTGCGCGTCTGAGATATAATTAATATATTTAGAAGCTTTGAGACTTGGCGCGCTGATGAGTTAATGAGATTTATGATAAAGGTTTCCAGGTGTGACTGGCTGGCACTTCCAATCCCAGCTCCTTCAGCAAATGAGGGAGATTATCTGTTTTATTTCCACACCATTAACGAGCAGGTAAACAGTTCTGGTTCCAGATGAAAGATGCGTCACGTTACAGCCACTGCAGCTGTCATATTAGATGCATCACAAACGTAGAAGCAAGGTGCAGATTTCTGCCACGACAATGCAAAACTTCTTTTTATTAATATTCACACGGTGACTCCGTGAGCACGTTCTCTGGCCGGTTCAACATTCTTTTCCTGCTGCTGTTGTTTTCATAAAACAGGATATGTTCTCGTATTTTACATTCGTCACTATTTTTAACTCCGCCGGGACAAAAATACGACGCCCCGAGCCGTTGTTTCTCCTGTTGCCATGGTGAATCACATCACCCGCGCTCCGCCGATGCAGGCTTTTCAGTCCCTCGTGCGCACGCTTTATTCAGGGTTGAGCTTAACTCTGAGTTTGACCAATTCAGAGTTTGTTAAACCTGATTTAAAGAAACCAAAATAAGCAAAAAACACTTCTATTATTAACAAGTACAAGCTGGTTTTAAAGTAGAATTAGGACTAAATTTACCTCCTGAGCACATGTTTGTTTGTTTGTTTGTTTGTTTTTTTTACTAGCTGTTGTCCTGGCAGAACGGTAAGCAAAATGTCCTTTGTGTTGGCAACGATATGCTAACGTGTTGTACGGTTATCTTTACTTGGAATAAACAAAGGAAAATGATTCGTTCTCTTGATTCATTTGAGATGTGGATTCCTATCAGAGCGTTCGCTTTGGCCAAATCTCGCCGCCAAGATGGAGGTTTTCCAGAAACTTCTGTTGATGCATTTATTATTTATGATCGCGTGTGATGCAGACATCCAAGTACAGACAGAAGCAGTCGATAAATGAGTGTTAATAATGGATCATAAGTGAGGTATCGCAAGTCGTGTATAACATGTTGGGTCTTTCTCCCACCCGACCTCTTCAGATTTAGA